CATCCCCGATCACAACGAAGGAAACAGAGGCACAGAGAGATTAAATAAGTTGCCCAAGGCTGCACAGCCAGCAAGTGAGGAAGCTGTGATGCAAGGCCAGCAGGGAGTTAGGTTCCGAGCCTCATACAGTTGTTAGAAGGATTGGAGGTGCCTATGAGGATGCCTGGTTCACAGTAAGCCACAGTAAGTGTCAGCTGCTGCTACTAGTGCTATTATGGCTTTCCGTCCGAGTTCCTGGACGCCCATCAGGTCCTAGATTGCTGCTTTGTTTATCCACCAGGGTCTCTAGAGACCCTCGCACTCCGGAGCCGCCTGTGCCCCACACAGCACCAACCTGCTCAAGCTCTGAGAACACGACTAATATCATCTGCTCCTGAACTTGTTCTACTTTCTAGTCAATTGTCTGCATGTCTTCTCTCCACGGATGGCTGGGACATAAGGCTCATCTTGGCCCGGAGGTCCCCAGAGGGCAAAGACCACAGCGGTGTGAACTCAGCATGAAATGACATAGGTTTGGAGTGACAGGGATGCCAGTGGCATCCTGGGACCTGCTCAGATTGAGGGAGAGGTGAGCAGGGACTGTGGCTCACTGATCCCATTCCCTTCCTGATTGCTCGGCAGGAGCTAAGGAGGACTGAGTTGAGCTTGGACAGTGTGCAACTGAGTGAGTACTGGAGGCAGATGGGAAAGCAGGGAGTAAGAGAAAAGTGTGACTTTTGACAAGCCTAGGATGGAATCCCAGCACAGCCTCCTAGCTGGATGTCCTCAGACAGGTTGTTTTTGGTTTCTGTTTGTTTGTTTGATGGAGTCTTGCTCTGTCACCAGGCTAGAGTGCAGCGGTACAATCTAGGCTCGCCGCAACATCCGCCTCCTGGGTTCAAGCGATTCTTCCACCCCAGCCTCCCAAGTAGCTGGGACCACAGGAACACACCACCATGCCTGGCTAATTTTTGTATTTTTAGTAGGGACAGGGTTTCACCATGTTGGCCAGGATGGTCTCAATCTCTGGACCTTGTGATCCACCTGCCTCGGCTTCCTGAAGTGCTGGGATTACAGGCATGAGCCACCGTGCCCGGCCCTCAGACATGTTTTACATAACCTCTCTGAGCCTAAGTTTCCTATCCATAACACGGAGTAATAATAACACCTTCAAAGGATTGTATAAGGTATTCATGAAAGACTTTATATAAAGCACTTGGCACTATGCCCTGCACATAGTAGGTATTCAATAAATGATAGTCATTATTACCATTTATTTCCTTTTAATGTTTAAAGAGTCAGAAAGCAGTGGTCCTGGTTTCGGTTCACATGCTAACTTCCCACGCAGTCTCACTTCTCTGCTCTGAGTCTCATCTCTCCCCATTGAAAATGAGGCCAAATTTGGGAGATCTATAAAGTTTGTTAGAGCTTTGACTTCCTGTGTTCTTTGATGCAAGTCATTTGTTGTCCCGGAATACTTGGACGTGGTTTGAAACCCCCGGAACAAACTCCTCTCCCAGAAAGTAGTTATCCTTGCTCTTGCCCTGGGCATGCTGAGTTTGCAAGTTTTCTTAGAATGAAGACCCTATCTCTGCTCTAGTTCAAATCCACAAGCCATGGAAAACTTGACTGTGGCTTAAAGATGGAGCCAGCTCAACAAGGGAGAAGAAAGAGGAAGAAAAGAAAAACAGCCCCAGTATGAACCCAAACTGCCAAACGCCACACTGCCCCACCCGTTCTCTATATTTATCAACCCTCGTGTGAGGAGGCAGGGAGGAGGCTCTGGCTTGTTCCCGATGACACATGTTATGATGAGAAAAAGATCCCTTCATTATGGGTCCACTTAGTGCTCATTCAAACATGCCACAAAGTGGAAGTCATTAAAGAATCTGCATAAACCTTGGGGCAACCATTCCCAGCCCTCCTGCACACAGCCTCACACACGTGCGCACACGGTAATGTCAGCCTTGGCTCCTCTTGGCTGTGCAAATTAAGATGTGGTGGTGGTCTGTGCACTACCTGGTGTTGATGCAACCAGTGGGAGAGTGAGCAAATGGGACTGCCCTGGTCTCTCACCAACAGAATCAGGTGGGCCAGGGAGGGTCAGGGCACAGGTACAAATGCCAGAGGGCTGGGCATTTCCACACTTGCCTCAGGGCAGCGGCAGAAGGAGCAGCTGCTGTTGGATGGCCTTCAGGACAGATGAAGAACATCTCCAACACCCCAGGTTGGAGGCAAGTCATCATGGGAAATTCTCCTCCTGCTACATAAAGATTAGAAAGCCTTGTTTGGACTCTATGCCCAGAGTCCAGGCAGATTAAGTAAGAAAGTGGTACAAGGCTGAGAAAGCTCTTGGCCTTCTCCTGCTCCCCTCAAAGACTCTGCACTCCCCTCAAAAAGTCCATTCAGTGAGCTTGGAGGCCAGAGAGGAGCCTATTAGGAAAGGAGCAGAGAAAGACTGGTTGGTCTTTGTCAGGTGGTAGAGAAGAAACAGGCTCATAGGGGATACACTTTAGAGCTCTACAACCACCTACTTTGAATTCCTTAACTCCATTCACTCAATTCACTCCTTCACCAAACCCTGATCACCGGGCACTATCCTAGGTGATGGGGAGCAAGATGAGTTCATGGTCAGGAAGGGAAGATACATGAGCTTCAGAAAAAAGCCCCCAAACCCCAACCATCTACAAATTGATATGGGAATAGCATGATCAATAACCGTGAAATAATTCTGCTGGATTCTATGAACGATATAAATACACGATGAGTACCCTCCAAAGCACCCAATTCTCCTTCTATAAAATAGGATAATAAGCTCAGCACCCTCCTCATGCTGTGGGGCCTGGCGAGGGAGGCAGGACTGACTGGCTGTCTTGTCAATTCCTACGGAGGCAGGTCACTGGGCATAGCTTCTCGGATCCCAACAAATTTTCTAGCTAAGTCTCACTGGAGTGAATCCCGGGCTGTGAACGCCTTGAAGGCAGATCCAAGTCTTATTTGTCTCTTACCCCAGTGTCAGGCACAGTGTTTGGCACAAGGCAAACACTCACTGATGGTTTGTAGATTGAATGAAAGAATACATGAATGAATGAGTCATGTCACACCCCAAGTGACTTGGGGAGTGGGAGGGCAAGGCATAAAATGAAACCCTTCAGTTGCCTCCTCTCTTCTTCTCTTCTCTGTCTTCTTCAAGCTCAGAAGAGTGCAGCCTCTTCCACAAGACAGGCAAATCCCAAATCTCTCTCCCCATCCAACCCATCAAAGAGCTCAGTGTATCCTCAGCAGAGATGGGTCACCATGACAACTAGCTAGCGCAGGAGCAGAGGCAGTGCTGTGAACCCTGCTCCCCTTCCCTAGGAGCCTTGGAGGAAGCCAGTGTTTCTCACTTTTCTGGTAAAGCCCTCCTCCAAAGGTTCCCTGACACTCTGTCCCCCCAGGGGAACCCAACCGTGATCCAACAGACACTTTCACATCTAACCAGTGAGGGTGGTCTTCCAGCTGACAAGCCTGGGGGATTCCTAATGCTAGTCTGCAGCCGACGTTAAAAGTCAAAGTCCCCTCATCAACTCCTTGGATAATAATCGTGAGTGAGAGCTGGGTTAGGTGCATGGAGATCATTAGGCTCTAACAATGTGGCATCCACATGAGGAAGCCATTACGCTAACAAAACTGCAAATGTAAAAATAGAGCTCCACATAGTTTCCTGGTTACCACATTCTAATTCTGATGACTCTTCAGTGCCAGAGAAATTGGGTTTCCTTTCGTCCCCTTCCATGCCCTGGTTCCCCTGCATGTACGCTTACTGTGCGAGGAGATGGCTTACTTGCGAAATGTCCAATCCTTAACCCAAAACCCTCCCCCACAAGGCGTGTCATGGAAGAATGAGGGTTGCTGTCCTGTTTTTTAGGGTTGCAGGAGCTCCAAGGTCGTGGCTATAGACCAGGCCTAGAAAGGGCTCAAAAGGTCCCGGCTGCCAGGCCAGAAGGGATATCCGGCCACCTGCCCAGCAGGGGACACAGAAGACAGAAGCGGTACACCATCCTGTCCAATGATCTCAGGATCAGGCTGTGTTCTAAGCCCCAGCTTTGCCCGCAGGAGCAGGGCACTGAGACAAAGCTGGGAGACAAACCCTCTGCACAGTCTCAGGTTTGTGAAAAGCAAATCCATTGCTTTGTTGGGGCAAGTTTCCCTTTGTCTGGGAAAGTAAAGGATAGACCGGGTTCCCTGCGGTGTGCAGCCTCGTGTATCTGTGGTGTGAATTACAGGCATCCTCTAGATACTTCTTTAATGTTGTAAGAAAATCAACACACATCCCCAAGTGCTGCTGAGTTTTGAATCTGACCCATTTAGGGCCTGACCTATGGTACCCAATACACTCACTCATTCATGCATCATTCATTGATTCAGAGACACTGAGCACCTGAGGCTGCACCTGGGACACCCCGTGCCTCTGCCCTGATGGAATATTGCTGTATTTGAGATTTAGGGATCTTCTTGGTGAATCTTACATTCTTGAGGCTCAGGTGGTATCTTGTGACTACAGGATGACACAGGGAAGGGGACATGTGTGGGAGTGGCCTGTTAAAAGTGGTCTTGGGAGGGAAAGCCACAGTGGTCAGGCAGCTAGCCAGATGGCTCTGGCCTGCCTCCCTAACTCCAGCACCTTCATTTTTCAACCGGGGCATCACTCAGAACTTGGCTCTCACTCCCAGCTTGTTACCTTTGTGTCATGACTTCACACATGGCACACACATGCAGTGACTCCCACAGCCTGGGCATCAGATAAACATGGCACCCCCTGGTCACTTCCCTATGCTGCCCCTGAAGGGCTCCTGGGTTTCATGGACCAACCCTGGGTTGAGGAAAGCATGATGAAAAAGCACAATTCACAAGTTAATGTCTCCTTGTCAAAAGATGGACCCATCCAGCCTAGGCCACTTCTTCTTCCCTGTGGGCAGTGAGGAGAGTTTGAGCCCAGTGGCCTCCCGCCCGTGGGAGGAAGTCTCCCCCAGAGCACTTACCCATGCAGGAGAAGCTCTCCTCAGTCTCGTTGAGGGGCTCAGGGTAGCCATCAAGGGCCCAGCTGCCCTGGGGGAGGGGGCCAGTTTCCTGGTCAGTTTGCAACCTGTGGGGCCAAGAAAGGGTAGTCACTCATGATAGAGGGTTCCTGGTCTCCAAGCCCCTCCACAGGGCTAAGAAAACCCTCTTAGAGCTTGGTTCTTCTCCTCTGATGGTGCCCTGCACCACTCAGGACCGGCCCCTCCCTGATGGGTGTGTGCTCATGTCTGTACTTCAGCAGGCAAAGCTGGGCCAGGCAGGAAGCCCCAGAGGACACTAGGATGCCTGACGCTTATCAGCTCTGGACAGTCTACAACCTACCCATTTACCAGGAACATTATCACTTACAGGGCAGAGGGATACCCTAGCAACTCCAGGCCTTGAGTCCTTTGTCCTGCCATGACCCTTGCCCTCAGAATGAGCATGTATGTACAGCCATGTACATATACACAGCGAAGAGCTCCCACTGAAGCTGAAGTCACTGACTCTGAGTAGCTCAGGGAGCACACAGGCTTTGGGCTGGTCGGTCAGGAAAGGAGGAGGAGTAGGCTCAGCGGCAATCACAGTGACTGCCGGGAGGACAAGTCTCTTGCTGGGCCAGTTGTGGTAGCTGGAAGGAAGGGTGGGGTCTCTGGGCACCAGCTCCCAAGTGCACACAGACCTCTGAGCACAACCTCAACAGTACAGTTGCTCCCAGGAACAAAGGCTGTGGGAGTTTTCATTATAGGCAATTACCCTAGGCTCTGGGAGCTGGCCCGCCCACCCATCCGCCTGCTGTCTCCAGCTAAATGGAGCCTCTGGCAGCTTGGCAGGAGGGGGAGGGGAGGGCCATGCAGCAGGAGGGGAAATTGAAGGGCTGGGCCATGGAGCCCTGAGAGTCTCCAGTGCCACTGAGATTTGTCTTTCTTTCCCTCCAGTTTTCACTTTTTTCAATGCCTAGATGGCTGGGACTCTGGGTTCAATTCTGCCATTAATTCACTGTATAATCTGGAGTAGATCTCTCTTCGCTCTGGGTCTGGTTTCCATCATGGGGTGAAGAGATGTCCCCCAAGGCTGGGATCAGTTTTACACTCGAGGGTCGTGAGGTGTTTGCTGCTTCTGCTCAGCTTTTTCTAAGCTATTTAGGCGGTGTTGAGCTCTTTTGCCTCTCAGGCCCCTTGGGTGAATGCTGGGGATAGGGCAGGGTGGGGTGTCATTAGAGAAAGCGGGAGACCTCATCCTGGCCCCTGGGGTGCTTGGTATGATGGGGACAATCACCATATACTACTGTCCCTCTCTTATTTTTTGAGACAGGGTCTCACTGTGTCACTGAGGCTGGAGTGCAGCGGCATGACTAAGGCTCACTACAGTTTTGACTTCCTGAGCTCAAGTGATCCTCCCACCTCAGCCTCCCAAGTAGCTGGGACTATAGGCTCAAACCACCACACTGGTTTTCATAATTTTTGTAGAGATGGGGTTTTGCCATCTTGTCCAGGCTGGTCTCAAACTCCTGAGCTCAAGAGATCTACCCACCTCAGCCTCCCAAAGTGCTGGAGTCGCAGGTGTGAGCCACTGCGCCAGGCTTCCATTGTTAATTAAATGTCTGCCCAGGTACACGAGTGCCAAGGGGACCAAGGGAATAAAGAAAGAAAGAATGGGGTTGTCTGGTTTCTCGGAAGAAATTAGAATGGACCTGGGATTTTAAAGTAGGGGATGAAACATATTGGTAAAAATGGCAAAAATGGTGAAAACTCGTCTCTACTAAAAATACAAAAATTAGCCAGGCTTGGTGGTGCATGCCTGTAATCTCAGCTACTCGGGAGGCTGAAGCAGGAGAGTTGCTTGAACCAGGGAAGTGGAGGTTGCAGTGAGCCAGGATCATGCCACTGCACTCCAGCCTGGGCAACAGAGAGGCTCCATTTCAAAATAAAAGAAAAACAGGAATAGACCAGGGTGGTGGCTCACACCTGTTAACCCCAGAGCTTTGCAAGGCCAAGGCAGGAGGATCATTTGAGCCCAAAAGTTTGAGGTTACAGTGAGCTATGATTGTGCCACTGCACCCCAGCCTGGGGGACAAAGCAAGACTCTGTCTCCAATAAATAAATTTTAAAAAATTAAAAAAGGAATAGTTAGTCATGAGTATTGCTGCCACTAGTATGATACAAGAGCAGATGAGTTTGCATCCGTTATACGGGCCAGAAACTCCAATGGCAGAAACATTGAGTAAGGCAGGCTTTATCTCTAAGCTCAGCTGGCTCTGTATGCTTATCCACACCTGCCTCCACCTCCCCAAACATGGCCAGGCCTCCATGTCTGCCCTCAGTTCTCAGCCTGAATGGACAGCACTGTGTATGCCAGAAGTCAGGCAGAGATTGAACCAGAGAGAAGATTGCAGTGGTGACACCAGTAAGCCTATGCTCCTAACATCATTAACCGTATTTCCAATTGAAGTCCAACCCAAGGCCCACCCAATGCAGGAAGAAGAGAATTGGTGGGGGTTAGGGAGGTGGTGGTGGAGGGTGCACTTGGTAGTTGGGAAAAGTCAGCAAGGGCTCTGGTGAAACTGCTGTGGCTCTTTTCTAGGATGGCAGAGAGGGATGAGGTTGAGGATGTAATGGAATTAGATGTGTGAGACCAGGGTGTCCTGAGAGCAGACGGGGCATTGCACCTTCTCTGGGTCCAAAGGGAGGTGGTAGATGAGAGGAGATAAGCTTCACTGGGAAGGCCACACCCAGGCCTTTTGAAAAGACAGGGCTGTGGAGGGTGGGGCAGGGGAAAAGATGGCTGCCAGATTCATTTCCTAGAGAAGCAGGTCAGGCATGACCAGGCTGGAGATGGGGAGGGAGGCAGGTGGCCTCTGCTTCCGCATTCCACTGGGGCTTTGCAGAAGGCCAAGGTGTTGGGGTGGGTGGCGGGGCAGGAGGAGAAATTTCCATGAAAACAGTATGTTTGTGGATTCTAGGGAGCAGATGGCACCTCCTTGGCTATGAAGCTTGGAAGGGTGGCCCAGCCTGGCCCTTGGCAGAGCTACCATGGCAGCAGCTCTAGGCCCTGCAGGCTGTGCTGGGTGCCTGCCCATTGGTCTGCAGCATCTCAGAGTGTCCTTGGTCCTAATCTCACCCTTGCTTGTGCCATGACCCTCTCTCTAACCCTAATCCAGAGCCTGAAAGGGGCAGGGTCTAGGAGGTAGGGTGGTGTGACACATTTCCATTTCTGTTTAAAATGCAAACATGCAATAAATGTTTGCTGAGTGAAGGAAACATGGTTCTGTTTAAGTTGCATTAAGGTATTTGAAGGAAAAATTCTGACCTCTTTGGAAAATGTCAGGTTCTGAATATACCGGGGGACTTGTAAGGTAGATAATGTAAAATCTTAAACAATTTAATGCCTAGACACTTTTTCCCAAAGAATGAATTCGAAATGAAGGGAATCAGGTAGGAGAAGAAAGTCAAAGAGTCACCAGGGAAACATTTTACTAATTGGAAAAAGGCCATTCAAAGGCAGGCCTGCCCTGCATTTCTGCTTCTTGAGTCTCTCATCAGCTTCAGAATCTAACTGAAGAAAGTCACAAAGGACAGAAGCGAATTGTCCCTTAGGAAAAGAAGCATCGGTGCGCTTTGCGGGCAGCACAGTCAAGCAGAAGATATGCTTTGAGAGCCAGGGGCCAACCTCGTAAGAGCTCCCTTTGGCTGTGGAGTCAGCTAGAATTCTTGCAATAACAGGGAGGTCACTGCCTTCTGGTCAATTTGTAATCCTCTCTAGTTTTTGGAAAGTTCTTCCTCTTGAGCCTCAAATCTGTCTTGAACTAACTTCTAACCACCATGGTGTTGAGTCAGGTCTTTGGAGCTGCACCAAGTAAATCTAATTCATCTTACAAGATGACAACCCTTCAAATATTTGAAAACAGTTCTCAGACCCTCTCTAAGCCTTCCCTTTCCAAAGCAAACTTCTTCAGTTCCTTTCATCATCCTGTAACACCTTTTGTGGATCCCCCAGTAACACATCAGTCTTGCTCTACATGTGTTTTTGTGTGTCAATGTCCTTTTAACATGTGGTGTTCATAACTGCATGTAACCCTCTAAATGAAGCCTGAACACATGCAGAATGTAATGGGACTATTCACTTCCTTGTCCTGAACTTCTTGTCATTTAAGATTGCATTCAATTTTTCAGAGATCAAGATACACAAGTTGTCTTCTATTGAAGGTTAAAGCTCCTGGTGGTTCCCTACTCCCACCTCCAGCCACTCTGATGCCTCAGTGGCCCCGGGTGTGTAGGGGATGCTGTACAAGCTTTTCTTTTCTTTTTTTTTTTTTTTTTTTTTTTTTGAGACGGAGTTTCACTCTTGTTACCCAGGCTGGAGTGCAATGGCCCGATCTCGGCTCACCGCAACCTCCGCCTCCTGGGTTCAGGCAATTCTCCTGCCGCAGCCTCCTGAGTAGCTGGGATTACAGGCACGTGCCACCATGCCCAGCTAATTTTTTGTATTTTTAGTAGAGACGGGGTTTCACCATGTTGACCAGGATGGTCTCGATCTCTCGACCTCGTGATCCACCCGCCTCGGCCTCCCAAAGTGCTGGGATTACAAGCTTGAGCCACCGCGCCCAGCCTTGTACAAGCTTTTCTACACCCAAAATATAAGTGAGAGTTTCTCTTTCCTTAGCATAGGGGAAAAATATAGAAAGTTAGTTTAGTCAGAAGATGCTTAATTTGCATTTGGGCATTTCTAAACTATAAAATAATTAGTAATTAGAATGTGGTGTACTTAATGAGGTCATAAAAAAGAGCATTGTTGACTACGTGTTTTTCTATGCAATCGATTTGCTGTGTCTGAGAAAAGCTGGAGATACTAGCTTGTTGCCATCTTGTTGTGAATACTGGCCTGGCCACCTCCGCCAACAATGATGGCAACACCTATCTGTGTGTTTAAGAAGCGTTAGTAAGTCCTGATGTGCCAGGCACATAAGCAGATACGCGCAAGGCACTAGAGTAAGTGCCTCCCTCCCTACCTACAGGGCACATACCTACCATGAACTGAAGGAGCAGTGCCCAAGCCAGCAGAGTTGGTCTAACTCACAGTGCTGGCAAATGCCCCGTATTTACTTGGGTGAGACTGATGCTACCTATATGTCTAGCTACTTAGACTTCTATGGCACCCCAATCTGTAAATTGTTTCATTATGTTCCAGAGAGCAAAAACGGACATTTTAAGGTACCCTCCTTGTGAGCCTCTTTTTGCTGTGGATTCCCCAGAGTCAAGAAAGACCAGAGCTTGGGTTAGGGACCCTTTTATGGTCCCAATCCCATCTCAGCTCTCCAAGCCCCCAACTCTGTAGGCCTCCACCTGCCTCACCCTCGTTCTATCCCCTGGGGCCCTCTGGACTTTGCCAACCACTGTTCCTCAGGGCCCCTGTCCTCTTCAGGCTTGCAGCTTGGTCCTAGCATGGCTCCTCCTCCTTCCCTCCCTGCCGGCTCCCCAGCTCACCTGTACTGGAAGGGGGCCACCGTGGCTGTGACTGGCTGACTCTGCTGATGGACCGAGGAGAAGCTAATGGCCCCTGGAGCAGGAGAGGGGCGTTTGCCCTGCACTGGGCTGCTGACCGGAGAGGAAGCCCATGAAGCTGCCCCCTCATCAGGCTCCAAAGACCTGAGGGTCCCAGAACTTTTGTAGTTTATATCTCTTTGGTCTTTTCCTGGGCAGCTTGGAGGCTTCCGATCTTCTAGAGCCCCTGGTATTTGTGTTTCTCCATGAAAGTTCATCCGAGAAGGGCTCCTGCCCCGGGTCTGGCGGACGGGAAGCCCTTCCTGGGCTTTCTTCTTCCTTCCCTGGGTGCCTTGTCTCTCACCAAGTCTTCTGGGTGCAGCCCGGCTGGAGAGGGCTGCTTTCGGCGTTGTCCTGGGACTACTCCACGGGGAACTGGAGGGGCCTTCCCCATCTTCAGCTGACTCCCTCACTGCCCCAACAGCCTTGGGAGAGCCTCTCCCCCGGGAGGCCCTAGGAGAGGAGTTTCTAGAATGACCTGCAGCCTTTCCCAGTCTTGGGGAGGCCGCTCTCTGTGGGCTCAGGGCCAGGCCAGCCTGGCGGGGTCGCAGCTGGGGAGAAGCACCCGGTGTAGGAATCCTGGTCTGGGAAGACGCACGAGGCACTGGGATGGAGGAGGCGTAGTGAAGGCGGCTGGTGGGATTCACATTGGCCATCCCATTCATTGTCCAAGAGGCTGGAAGAGTGGGCTATTGTCCTGCAGGGAGAGGGGGAAAAAAGACTGTCAGGCATATCCCCACCAAGCCTCCATCCCTAAGTGTAGAAAGAAGATGTAGGGGTCTGCGAGGAGGCTCGAGCACCCAGGCTGGGCACTGGCACTCCTGGTTCGCATCGTGACTGGGTCACTGGCTACCCATCGGACTCTGGGCAAATCCCTTTCCCTTTCTGCTCTGAAAAGCTGTTACGAGGTTCATCTGCAAGCACATCTGGGAAAGTGCTTGTGAACTGCCATGTGCTGTACAAATGGGCTTCATTTAACTTTCTTTGACTCTGGTCCAGCTCACTGCTCCGGGACAGACTCTCCTTCTCACAGCCTCCCTCTCAGGTCTCTCCTGGTACCTCGAGTCTAGAATGTCCTCCACACTAAACAAACTCCTCATGCTCTCAGCCTCTCCCCTGCATGTTCCTTCCACTCGTCACTGCAGCTGGTCCCTGGCTCTAAAGCTGACCCCTGGCTCTCCTTACAGCACCCTCTTCAGTGGAGTGCAACCTTCCTCCACATGCTGTTGGGGCCCAAGGGTGGGAGAGCTAATCACAATCCCTCCAAATCATAAACTTGTAAACTGGCAAATGCCACCCCTTGAGGCTGCTGCCATTCCCTGGTCCCTCCCTACTAACCCCACCCCCATAGTCACTGGGCATTTGGCACCTGGCTCACAGCCTTCCTCTCTAGCCCGTTTCCTACCCACCTCCCACCCTGTCAAAACTGACCTCTGCTACCTCTGCCACCCTCGTCTAAAAGAGACTGAGTGTCCACCTTTGGTTCAGGGCAGCTCCCTATGCAGCCCCTGTCAACAGCACTTGATCCCTTCTCTTCCAGACCTTGACTCATTCATTATCGCCTTTCTCTCCTGTATCTTCAACCCCTCCCCCTTCACCAGCTTCCCCTCCTTGCCATGTTAATTAATGAATTAATCACTTCCATTTCAAAGGGAATTTAAAGCAGTTTTCAAAGATACATACAATCAGTTCCAGATAGATTAAAGAGTTAAAGGTTAAAAAGTGAAGCCATAAAATAATTTTTAGAACACATTCATGAGTGTTTCCATAATTTTGTTGTGGGAGAGGCCTTTCTAAGTACCACATCAAAGGCAGAAATCATAAAGTAAAACACTGATAGACATGAGTGCATAAAAATTAAAATCTCTGTATGGGCAAAAAACCTTTTCAAAAGGTTCAAGACATCAATAAACTATAAAAAGGCCAGGCACAGTGTCTCATATCTGCAATCCCAGCACTTTGGAAGGCCGAGGCGGGCTGATCACTTGATGTCAGGAGATCGAGACCATCCTGACCAACATGGTGAAACTCCGTCTCTACCAAAAATTAAAAAATTACATGCGTGTGGTAGCAGGTGCCTGTAGTCCCAGCTACTCAGGAGGCTGAGTCAGGGGAATCACTTGAACCTGGAAGGCAGAGTTTGCAGTGAGCTGAGATTGTGCCACCGCACTCCAGCCTGGTGACAGAGCGAGACACCATCTCAAATAAATAAATAAATAAATAAACTATAAAAATACTTGAAACAACTATGAAAAACAAGGAATTAATACCTTTACATGTAGGGAGCTTTACCAAATCAATATTTAAAAGCAAACACCCCAGAGAATAAAGGGCAGGCAGGGCACAGTGGCTCACACCAATAATCCTAGCACTTTGGGAGGTCAAGTGGGGAAGATCACTTGAGTCCAGGAGTTTGACACCAGTCTGGGCCACACGGTGAAACCTCATCTCTACAAAAAATAAAAAAATAAAATAAAATTAGCTGGGTGTGGTAGTGTGTGCCTGTAGTCCCTGCTACTCGGGAGGCCGAGGCCGGAGGACTGCTTGAGCCTGCAAGGCAGAGGTTGCAGTGAGCTGAGATGGTGTCACTGCACTCCAACCTAGGCAACAGAGTGAGACCCTGTGAACAAGACAACTGCAAAAGAGTAGATACAACAGGCCAAAACAAAACAAAAACCAAAGTCGTCATTAGAAATCGAAGAGATGCAAATTAAATAAGTTATCATTTGTTGCTATCAAATTTACTATATCATAGAAAATTAAAATATCCAGTGTTGGTAAGAGTATATGGCCATGAGGCTGGGTGCAGTGGCTCACATCTGTAATCCCAGCACTTCGGGAGGCTGAGGCAGGCGGATCACCTGAGGTCAGGAGTTCAAGACCAGCCTGGCCAATGTGGTGAACCCCCATCTCTACTAAAAACACACAAAAAGAAAAAAAAAATAGCTGAGCATGGTGGCACATGCCTGTAGTCCCAGCTACTTGGGAAGCTGAGGTAGGAGAATCGTTTGGGAGGCGGAGGTTGCAGTGAGCCGAGATCACACCACTGCACCCCAACCTGAATGACAGAGCAAGACTCTGTCTCAAAAAAAAAAAAAAAAAAAAGTATACGGCCCTCATACACTGCTGTGGGAACAATGCCAAACCTAAAAATGTGTGCTAGGAAAATGATTACAGATGGGAACAAAAATTTATGTACAATGAAAATAGTTTGACTCTCAAAGGGTGTATTGGCATTGGATGAAGAAAAAGAAAAGACAAAGGACATTTGGACAGAGAAAAGACCACCAAAGAATGGCCAGTTCCCTTGAGATCCCTGGGATCCCCCTTTCATATTATGGAGAAAGCGGTAAGCGACTGCGTGGAATTGTTTATAGCTGTTGCTGACCTTTCCCAGAACTTTGACTCTGTGGTCTGGGACCAGTTACAGCCTAAGCTATAAGAAGTCAGTGTAGACCCTTGAGCATTGATGGATTTCTAAAACTCCAGTTTGAAGTGACCATGAGAGTCAGGGCTTATTGGATTGCTCTGCAATAACTGAAATAAGCTCCACAAGGAATTATTCCACAAGGGAATTGCTATGTCTCCCTTATCCTTTTCTCTCATTTGTAGTTTAATGACTTGATACCATTATTTGATGAGCTAAAGCAACCCTCATCCAGCAGAAGGACAGCAAAGAGATGTGTGCCCAGCTCGCCTCTGCTTCTCCAGTGGCTGCCCACGGCCTAGGCCTGGAGGGCCACACCCAGGGCTTGCCTGCCTCCTGCCTCTTCCTCTTCTAGCTCATGTCATTCCCTGCCCACCCACCTGGCCACATACTGAGGGACCCTGAGTCACCCTCTACTTGCCCACAGTCTCCCACTAAGGGCACCCTGTCCAGCACCCAGCCCCAGCATGCCAAGGACAACCCCACAGGAAGGACAGAGAAGGACTTTCATAATGGGAACTCGGAGAGTGTAAGCAGGTACTACCTGCAGCTGTAAGAATCTAGGTAAATTATTCAGCCTCTCCACGTCCAGTCTGCAAAATGAGGATAGGACAAAATGTAGGAACGGCAGACAGGTGGAGAAGCAAGCACTCTTTAAGACCAGAAGGCAGCACCATGCTTTATCCTGGCTTCAGGCCAGTAGTCAGAATTCTTTCTCAGCAGAGATGAGAGTCGATTGACTTTGCTATCCTCCTTCTATCTAGCCACCCCTCTACTGGTCAGTCATGTGAATCTGTGACAATGCCATGCAGGACGAGAAGTAAAGTGTGGACCTGCTCAAAGACTCATAAGGGCCCTGAGCTGCTGACCTTGGCCTATAGCACAGAGCAAGGCTGTGCACTAACTATAGAGCTAACCAGCTGGCCACCCATGAGAAGGGCCTGTGACTACTGACCAATTGCAGCCACATCCCTGAGATTTCAGCATTCCCAGGTTCCGTTCCCTGCACTGACCATGTGCTACATGGTGTGTGTGCTTCTGCCCTGGGCTCCGATCCCCACCAAATCCCAGTGTGGGGACCAAAGTCAATTCCGCACCCTAGACCACCCCTTCTGGGAGCTGTGTTGGTGAGAGAATCCAGAACTAAATCTTGACTTCATCTCTCCTGGGAGTCCCTCCCCAACTCAGGTTGTGTTGCCCAATGACCGCCCCCCACCAAGAGCCCAACTCACCTACATTGTCCTCCAAGCATCTCTGGGCTCCCAGCCCCTTGGCTCAGACCTCCCCCAGTCCCTTATAGCTAGGGCTGGCTGGATTTCTAGCTACGAGAGCCCTAAGGCTGAGGCGCTGCGTCTCCTTCGCTTGCTAATGGAGCAGACGCAGTTGCTGCTTTCCTGGATCATCATTTTTTCGAAAGCTCGATGGGAGGAGGGTTTTAAAACACTCCCATGGTAGGTCACAAGAGTCCCACCCCTCCCTCTCCACTGCAGTTGGGGCCCTGCTCTCTCCTCTATCTGAAACTTGATAGCCCTCACCTAGACTGGCAGGGGAATGTACACAGGATGTGACAACCATTGCCCCAGGTGGGAGCCTGGGAGGATGAGACCATCTTTGGGGTGGCGGAGGAGGGCTCCCCAAACAGTGAGTTATTTTAGCCTAGGGAAAGGGGTTACAAAGGAGCTTGTCGGGTTTGCCTTCGGAGCGAGGACCCACAGGTACTCAGTATCTTTAAGGACACCTGGCATATGCTTCTGCCCTAGACGGAGTAACAGTCCCTTGTATTAAGACATTGTTTCTAGTTCTTAACAACAACCTTACAAGGTAAGTTTTATTACCCCTTTCACAGGTCAAGAAAATGAGGTCCAGAAGTTAAGTAAGCTGCCCAAGGACACACACAGCCAAAAAGTGGCAGAGAGGTGTGATTCAAATGCGATGGACTAGACTCTGGGGCTCAAGGACAGATCCCCGTGGCCACACTCACCAAGAGCGTATCCAGGCTCTGCCTGCATGCCCCCAACCTTCATGATCAGCTCTGACCTTGCTCTGATTGGAGCTTGGGACCTTCCAGAGATGGAGTTGGGGGTGGGAAGGGGGGATCCATTTTATAGGGGGGAAACCAGGAAAGTCAGTCATAGGCAGCTCTGGGGCGGCCTCTTTTCCCTCATATTCTCCCAACACTCTGGAGACCTAGCTAGTTTTCCCAACCACCTTACATGCTGTTTGCCTTTGTTGGTACAGGGGCATCGCCCACGTGAGACTGCAGACAGCAT